ATTTAACAAGGCAAATTTTAAGGCTTTTTAAAGGGCTAGCTAGCTAAATATGTTTTTTTAGAATTCTTTATTTTCTAGTTTCTAGCTTTAAATTTTCAAAATTTTTCAATCCCTGGCGGTCCTCTTAAAATTTTGAAAATGACGATTTTTGAAGCCTTTTTTCTTTCTGCAGTTACGATTTCACAGGTGTCCCGATCCCTTGAAGCCACCCCTAGCCTACGGGTTCTGCCCTATACCCTGCCCCAAGCTACTGTATCAGCAGATCAACAGCGACATTTCCAATTCCATCTGTCTCCGCCGGCCACGCGGTCATCAGCCCTTATCCTCTCGCTAATCCGAAAAAGCCGCTATCAGCTGTTATTGCCTACGAAATCTTTTCTCTCAAGGGGCAGCTTTTGAACCTCGGCGAAAACAACGGGATTTGCCGCGGCCGCGCAACTAGAGATTTTGCTGATAATGGAGGTGCGGATTATCACCTCTGGTGAGATCTTTGTGGCCAAAATTGGTGCGTTATGGTGGTTTGGATTTTGTAGCGTTTGGAAATATCTTTCTCTCTCCCTCTCTCTTTCTCTCTCTAGCTCCTTTTTGTCTCTGTATGTCTATCCCCTTCCTTGCTACCAACCTATCTCTCTCTCGCTCTCTCGCGCCCTCTCCCTATCTCTCTCTCTCCCTTTCTCTCTCTCACCCTTTCTCTCTCTCGCCCTCTCTCTCTCTCTATTTCTCTATTTCATTGTCAGTATATCCCTCGGTCAACCGCAATCCGTTCCTACCCCTTGTATGGAATGGGCAATTGGGTGGTGGTTGTGTGTGCATCGCCGGGCTATCGAGCGCTACGAGGGCCATCTATCACCGTCCCCGTTAACAGCAAAATTGGGGGTGCCGTTCGGGGGTAGCGGCTCGGATTGGCCATCCACTACCCGCCACCCCACCCCCACCAACCCTGAAAACCAATCCAATCCCTTTGGTCAGCGCGGGTGGAGGCGAAAATTTGGAGTTCTGGAATCTTGGGTTCAAATCAGAAATCCCTAGTAATCATTGCTAGTTTTTCAACATCCGGAATTATTGAGCTTTTCCGGTTTGAAGAATTACCATTGATAACGCCAGAGATAGAGAGTGTGAACTTGATAAATAGAGCGAGAGAGAGAGAGCGCCAGAGAGAGAGAGAGAGAGAGAAAGAGAGAGAGAGAGACGATTGAATGAGATGGAGTGAGCGCGACAACCAGCTACAGAATAGTTTTTTATTAATAATCCTTTGAAGTTTCGAACTCCCAAATTTCCTCTGCTTGCTTGCGATTCCCAGAAACCACATAGTGCACATCTCATTAGTGCTTTTTCACTACATTTTCCTCCATATTTCCTCAATGTTCTCCCTCTGTTCCCCTCCCTTTTCTAATCCGCTTGCATTCCAGATACCCTCCATCATCAGCTTCTCCTGGCTGCGGCACCTGTGCTGGCTGAAACTGCCATTTTCGTCGGCTCTCGCGTGTTGGCCGTCAATTTCCGCGTGGCTACTGATTCCAGGCTCGGCCCCCGATTCATTCCGCCGGATTTCTCAGCACGCTGCGGGGGACGGGGAGGGCACCCCTAGGGCATGCGGCCTGGGAATTTGGGTTTTTTGAGTGCGAGAAGTTGGCCTGGACTATTTTTTTTGTATATCGGGATTTTTAAAGGGACCGGCAAGGCAAAAAATGTATGTATCCTAGGAATACCCACCTTCATCAAGTTCATGTCTTTCGGATTATTTTTTCAATTTGCTAGCTGTTGCTTAACTCGCTCGCTTTTGCTAGCTGACAAGTAGATGAACAACTACAACTTGCCAGAAAAGCGGCGAGGCACGGTATAATGACTATAGAGGGCTGATTTTGACGCGGGAGGGCTATAAGCTTGACGAGGGGGGGGGGGGGGTGAGGTATAAGCTTTCAGCCTTGGGTTTTAATGACTAAAAAGTGCTCTCAAATAATGCCATGGCTTTGTTCTTATTTTCTTACAGAATTTTCCTTTTAAGCCGGCTTTGCCCTGACTTCCCGGTGGCTTTAAAGTCGCTCGGACAGCCGGAAGACTGGGAGAGAGAGCGTCGGAGTCCCCTAGTGGTTTCTTAAGAGTGTTATCTCGGATATGGTATACTTAAGAAAGAGAGAGCGAGAGAGCGAGAGAGAGGGAGAGGGACAGATAGAGAGAGAGAAAGAGAGAGAGAACGCGAGAGGGCTAGAGAAAACAGTACCATTCCAACCACCCCAGTTTGCCAATCAAACCCATAAATACCTATAACGGATAAGTGTCTCTGTCTGTCTGTCTGTCTGTCCACTTCTGCCTGTTGGTGTGCATGTGCCCGGCACAGCGGCGCCACCGGGTGAAATTGGCCGGACTCACGCATCACTGATCCCCGCCGGGCAATCGCCTGGCCCCCCGGTTAGCTGATTTCCCGCTCGGGGTGCGATTTTTCGAATTTTGGATTTTGGAGGGCTCGAAATTTAAGTTTCAAGAGATTATTGCAAAGCACCCATTTTGACAGAAAATAATCGTATATTTTTGCTAAGCGGCTGGCTAAATGTCGGTTTCCTCGAAAATCATGATCGAAAAGTTCACCCCTTTCTTGTCACCGGTTTGGCAATGTTTTTCGAGGGAGATGCAGGACTCAAAAAGAGACGTAAACAGCCTGCTCTCTTTCTTTGGATCTGACTGATGTTTATGCAAATCACGCTCGACTTTTTGCCGGCTAGGTCTCGATTTTACTGATATATGGACTCCTTATCAGTTTTTACGGGGTTTTCTTGGCGTTGCTTGCCGTAAATGTTGTAGTTCAGCACTGACAGCCAGCGCATGCTAATTAAGTCAACATTTTTAATGGCGAGGTTCCACTATATTTTTCCGCCTGTTTTTCGACATTTTCAGTTAGGAGGATTTTTAAATTTCATGTCGCTCCTTATTTACATCCCCGGAGATGCCATCTGTTTCCAGCATCTTCTATCTTCCCTTTTTCACCACCCTCCCCCCATCCGAAATCGCCCGAAAATCAGATCAATAGCACTCGAGTTTCAGCAATGTGGGGGGTGTTGAAGACGGCGGGGAGGCAGTCAGAAAAGTAACCGACAGACTGACAAACAGCACAGTCCGCCTCTTCCCCGGTTCCTTCTTGGGGTTTTGTCCTTTTTCGTAAGGTAGAGGAAGAGGAGGAGGGGGGGGTGGAGTTTGAGGTAGTTGAGAAGGCCACAAATCGAGAAGAGTGGGGGGAATGGATTCGAGGAGAGGCGTTTATGGGGTATCGCCCCGTGTGCGGAGAGTTGAGGTGACTTTTTTGACGGTGATCTGTCAGTTTTGGGAGGCGATTTGGGGTGTTTGGATGTTGGAAAATTACACGCTTTTGCGTGAGATTACTTCCGGGGTACTGTGGATTGGCTAAAACGGGGATTTCAAAATGAGTGGTGAACCTAAGCCCAAGCCTAAGCTTAAGCCTAAGCCCAAGCATAAGCCTAATCGGGGACCACTCCTTAGCCTAGGCCTAAGTCAAGCCTAAGCCTAAGCATTACCCTATGCCTAAGTCTAAGCCTGAGTCTTAGCCTACACGCCGAAGCCTAAACCCGAGCATAAGCCTGGGCCTGAGCCTAAGCCCGACCTAAGCCTAAGCTTAAGTCAGAGCCTAAGCCTAAGCAAAGCCTAAGCCCACGAATCTCTGGACCAACCGTGTCGGCTGGACGATATGCAACCTTGCTAACTAACTAACGACCATAGCCCGCGCGCCCGGCTCCGCCCCCTTATTTTCGGGGATCCCCCACCTCCACCTAGTCTCTATCATCCACCCTCCCCTCCTCTTCCTCCACCCCCACGGTCATTTCTCATTTCGTGATGTCGGCCGCCGGCCTCATGGCTCGTTGTTGCCCCCCGGTGCACCATGTCGCATTTTCAAATCCATGGAAGTACCTTTGAGGCTGCGCTACGAGCTTCAATTCCTTAAATTTCTGTGCTATCTTTTTACAATATTTTTATTTAATTTTCGCTACGAATCCGCTATTATGCAACTCTTGTTATTAACTACAAGCTACCCCTTTTTACGGCGGCCTAATTCGGTTTTTTGAGGGGCTTTTCTGGTACCTCCTCAAGCCCAGCCCTTTTAGAAGTAACAGAAAGGTATCGAAGCCCTGTCTTTTTCTCTCTTTCTCCCTCTCTCTCTCTCTCTCTCTCTCTCTCTCTTTCTCGCTCTCTCACTCGCCTCCGCTCCTCGACAAGCGACTGATTGGTAACATTTCGGCCACGGCCTTGCCCACTGATCCCCCTCTTCGTCCTCCTCCTCAATCCAAACGAATCCCCCTCTTGCTCATCCTCATCCTCCTGCGCCTCCTCGCAAGAAAAACGTAGCCCCTTTCCATCAATTGTCACTGTTCTTTCGCTCTGTCTCATCTCGACTATCGCCATCGCGACTCCGTTTCCATCCCTGTTGACAGGCTTGGATATGCAGAATTCTGGATTGAAATTCTTATTTGGATAATGTGAGGCGCTTCTGAGGTTTAATTTTCGGAATATTAGACACCTGGCAAGTTGTTAAATCTTCAAAAAATTTGGCTATTCTATTTTTATATTTTTAGCGTGTCTTTGCGCATTTTTGCGACAATTCGCTCGTTCTCTCTCCTCTCTTCTCTCTCTCACTCTCTCTCTCTCTTTCTCTCTCTCTCTCTCGCTCTCTTTCTCTCGCTCTCACGATCACCAAGTTCAAGTCCAACTACGCTTATTTTTCACCCATTTCCTGATGATTTCTATTGTTTGCCCGCCCACCCCAGATTTGTAAGCTCGAGATCCGAATGATTCCATTGAACCTGTATTCGTACGTATTTTTTGATAGCTTTTCTATTCCGTGTCTTCCCTAGAATTTCCCATTGGTTCATCTTTATATGATCCTTTTCAGGCTGTCCCCTTCCCCTCACAACCCCGCCACGACGTCTTCTTCAGAAGCCTCGCCGAGTCGTGTGATGACTTTGGTCTCTTCCCCGCTTTCCACCTCCGACCAGATGTCCGACCAGCCCGCATCTTCCCCGACGCCTACTGGTTCGTTTTTGGGTATTTCTGTCGGTATTAAAGGAACCTAGAAGCCAAGAATCTAGGCCAAAACACGATTATAAAGGAACCAGGACGGTCTAGGTCAAGTAACATAAAACCAGCCGGGCTGGGCAAGAAGTTCTGTCCTCTTCCCGTTTTTCAAAGCGTGACGGTTGCAATTTTGCTAATCATGGATGATGCCGGTGAAATAGGACATCCTGATACTCAAGCATCAAATTCCTGGGCTTCGGATAATTTTAAAGGGACCGGAAATCTTGGCTAAACGGCCAGCCGGTATGCCATTAATGCGTAGCTTACGTTCCGATACTTTGAACTCCATAATTTAATCTTTTAGCCATAGAAAACTGCGCCCCGTGCACGCCTATGGACAGTTCACCAGCTGGCGCGACATCAAGCTGCCCAAACTGTACACAGCTGCACAGCGACGTCGTCAAGTCGGTCGCGAGCATTAACAGCAAGTTGGACCAGGTATGATCCATTCTTTATACGTAGCGCAACGTAGTCTCGTGTGTTTAGTAACGTAGCGTAGCTTAACTTACAATTAGCCAAACTTAGCTTGGCGTAACGTAGCGTTACGTAGAGTTACGTAGCGTTCCGTAGTGTTACGTAGCGTTCCGTGACGCAAGGTAATGGAGCCTAACGTACTTATGCAGATTTTTCAGATTATGATGAGAGTCGAAACACTGTTCGCTGAACGTCAACAAACCCCCAGCCCGCATCATAATGAAGCCACCCCGAGCCCGATGCCCTTGCAGAACAACCTGGCGGCCATTTTGAATGGAGTCCAGCAAAGCAACCGAAAGCGGAAGCCGCCGAAGGAACCGAAGCACGACCAGGTGAACAAGCTGGAGGCGCTGCACAACATGTTGATCAAGGTTAGTAAAAATTTTCAGGGTATCGAGCAGAGATTTTTGGGGGAAATGTTGCATTTCATCGCGTAATCTTTTAACCCGGAAATTGAGAAATTTTAACCTGTCCCGATGCATTAAAAAGCATAAAACAAACCGAATTTCATAGCGTAATTGGTTCGGCCATTTGAATACAGTTAAAAGCAATTCAAGCCTATATATGAACAAAACGTAGCGGAAAATCCGCAAAATCATTGTTTGCCATTTTGCCCGTCCAAACCATCAAATTTTTCCGGAATTTTTTTGTGAAAATCGAGGATGACCACCTCCTATATGTAAGCTAAGCTTCCGCTCCCCCCCGAAAATGTATATACTAATCCAAAAGCCTTGCCCTACGCAAGCATGGACCCCCACAATCCGGATTTTGGAAAATCCAGAATAAACCCCCGGGGCGGGGCTGATAATCCTTAAAGGTGGGGTACACCCCAGGGGGGTACTGTAGCTTAGGCCACGCCCCTTTTAGTGATAAAACCTGGGGGACGGTATATAAAGAGTGATTTCCAGGTGGAAGCGAACAATCAGTCGCCCGTCGTCGAGCAGAAGCTTGAAAGCATGAAAGCCGAAACCCCCTCGACACCTGCCCCCACTTCCGTCCCAGCCACTCCCCCAGCCAGTAAGCTATATTCTGATACTACGGCTATCCTGGCCCCGAGACAGTATTATTTTGGCCTGTTGTGCCAGCAGGGCGCGGCCCTTGGCGTTGAGGCGTTGTTCCCGATTGGTAGGTCGTGGGGAAACCTATAGCTTTTCAGAGGTGTTTTTTGTAATTTGTATCTAGTTTTTTCTCGGCTTAACTGAATACTATATATATTTACTAATTTTTTGTATTTAATTTGAAATTAAGCCCAGAAAAAAAGCTCAAAAAACTTCGGCGCAACTTGCTATATTGATTTTTCCGCTCTACCTTGTAATTTAACGTTTACAATGAAATGAATTATTACGCTATGAAAATGTTTCTTGATTTCCAAAATCTTTGTATTTTTATCAATTTTAAAGGATCTTAGCATTTTGGTAATAAGAAATCCGAAACTTGTGAGAAAATTTTTTAAAAACTAAAGAATTCAAATAAGCTAAAAACCAAAAAAATGCTCCTGACTGTCCAAGACTGTAATGCTTTTGCGCTGCGTTAAGTCAAATTTAAATACTTTCAGGACCTCAATCAAACACCGAGGCGACGCTGAACTTGGCGAACATGATGTACGCGGCGAACATGGCGCGGAATGAAGGTATGTAGCGATTTTGAGCATTAATTTCTATTCCGTACTTGTTGAAGACGTTGGACATAAAATTTTCTCCAGGCATGCCCGACCTGGCACAACAACAACAGTTCCTGAACCTTTTGATGCAGCAGTCGATTAACCAATCCCAGCAGCAGGAGGAGAACCAGCAGCAGCCCGAGCGGCAGGAGGTGTGTAGATTGGAGCTTGTCGTATTAGTCAAAAATTTATGCTAATTCTTCCTTAAAATGCGGTTGAAAATTCCCCAAAGAAGCTCTGCTAGCTCGCTCGGTCTGTTTTGAAGAGCTCTCCAAATCGCCCTGCACTTTTTTGAATAAATAACCAAGAAAATCGCGCGCTTTTGTTAAGGTATACCCCAATCATTTCATTCTCTTCCCCTAGCTAGCCACAGCCAAATGAAACGCTTTTTGTTGCCCCTGTCGCCCTAGTGCTGATCGTTCCCTAAATGGCACCCCGCCGAGCCGTCCCCGTAGCCCCCATGCTGTTTTCCGTACTTTGGCCAATCAACTGGTGGGGGAGAAAATGATGCTGTTTATCGCTAGTCGCTACGCCGAGTCGGTGGGGTGGGGAAAGTGATTGGAAGGGAAGGGGCAACTTTCACAGAAACAAGAGACAACCGGGATACGGTATCAGCCTTGCAAAATCTAGAGATCTCGGGGGAGCAGAAAAGGGGCGGAGCCAGCTTATCAGTGTCCGGGAGTTGATTGGCTGGTTAGTGGAGAGAGAGAGAGAGAGAGAGGGGAGAGAGAGAGTGAGAGAGAGTGAGAGAGCATGCGAGAGAGAGATAACTAAAATAGAGATTCACAAGGCAAATTAACAGAGATTCTATGGGAAAATTCAGCCTAAAGAGAAAAAATTAGAGAGATTTTTGACGAAAAAGAGGTTTTTGGGTTTCCAATTTTTGGCCATTTGATCTGGAATCTTTAGACCTTTAGTCTTCTCAATCCCTTTAAACCTCCTAGGCGGCTACGGTAGCAAATTGGCCCCTGTCCCCCAGGGCCCTGATTTGATGTCGGAGGCGTTAGAGCGTGTATGTCGCTGCCCGGGGGGCAGGCGGTTCCTTTTGGCCCACCTTCCTCTTCCTGTGTCCGTCTCTTGAGTACGAGCAACACCTGTGACCACATACACACACCAGCCGTCACCACCGGAAATCAGTAGCGGCTTTCTGGGGGGCGACAAGTCCCAAATTGGGTGTTGACCTGGGCCATGGCGGGGGCCCTTCCGCCTTACCGATTGGTGTATATGATTTGGAGGGGAGTAAGGGGATTCGGGGGGTTTAAAAAGCTGCTTCTAAGCCATTTAAAGGGACTGAGAAGGCAAGCAGGTTCTTGAAGAAAACTGCAAAAATTACTTGAAAACTAGAAAATTCTAAAAAAGATTAAAAATCGTGTTTCGCAAATTTTCACATAGATTTTTCTTAGTTAACGTAGCCACTTTGCCACTTCGGATTTTAAAGGGATTGGCAAGGCAGATAGCCTACTTCTAAAAGATCGAAAGCGCGTTCAATCAATTTAAGAAAAATTGAAATCCGAAATTTTGCCGGTTTACGGAATATTTTTCATCCTTCCTGTTAATTTTGTAAACGAATTCCGAATTAGCATTTTTTTGGCTTTCAAAATCCAAATCTATAGCTAGAACCGACTTCTCAATACCTTTAAAATCTACAAAATCCGCGTCGTCGCTACGAAATCTGGCGTCTCCAGCCGTTGGGCCATTTATCACTTTGTGCCCCGGTTTGGCGGCTATCCAAAAGTAGCAATTTGAGTCTGGAGCGAGAGAGAGAGAGAGAGAGAGAGAGAGAGATAGTGCGTGAGTGAGAGCGAGAGAGAGAGAGCGAGAGAGATAGCCCTCCGCCCCAAGGCCATCCTCCCCGGAATGGTACTACAGTAGAGATAGTAAAATCCGAAAATTATCACCCCCGCCCGGCACGTGTGCCCTTCAGGGGAACAACAGCCGTCCGGCCAAGCCAAGGCCATCCTTTTTGAGCCTGAGGGGCAGCAAAAAGTGATCATTCCGAGGGGGCCACCTAATTGCGCCGGCATCGCTTTGACCGGGGTGGGGGTGCCGAGTTTGAGGTCTTTTTACCATCTCTTTTTCTTCCTCGACCCTCCCGTTTTCAACCCGAACCTCTGATCGGAGCTCGGGCCATTAGTCTAATCGCCGCTACCAGGAAAAAGTGGCCGATCGGGCAATCGTTAGAATCGTTATAGCGCTCTTGAAGTGCGTTTTTCTGGTTTAAAGGGGTGATGACGTTAAAAAACGAGCTTTTAGAATTTCATACGCTATTCGAGTAGCCGAAACCACAAAAACGGATTAATCCGTTTAACACATAAGTTCTCAATTTTATTTTGCTATCTTGCAGGAAACCCACGACGCGAGCGTGTCGCGGTGCAGCAACTGCAGCACGACCAAGACGACGGCGTGGCGACGGGACTACGAGGGGAAACTCGTGTGCAACGCCTGCGGGTTGTACTTCCGCTTGCACAAGGTGAGCAAGCGGTTCAGATATTTCTCTCTCTCTCTCTCTCTCTCTCTCTCTCTCTCTCGCTCTCTCGAGCTGTATGCCGTCCGTCTAACTACTATAACTACCGTAACCCCACTTCCGGCTGTTTCAAGGGTATAATAGATCCAGGTGCATCAATCTTGCGCCGCAGAACCTAATGGGGTCCCACGGCGAATCAGGTCGAATAGCCTTAGGTAACAATATGGGTCTTCTTGCTCCCTCCCTGTCCCTCTCTCTCTCTTCTCTCTCTCTCTCTCTCTTCTCTCTCTCTCTCTCTCTCTCGCTCTCTCTCTCGTTCCCCTGACTAGCCACTTCACCGGAAGGAGGTCGTGCTCCTCTTCTGCGGTGTGTGGAGTCCATTACCTGAGGAGTCCGGGGGCAGGTTATTGAGGAGGACCTTTTGAGATTCTCTTCCTCCTTTTGAGACTCAACCTAGGGTATCCATCCGCGCGCGTCCGATAACAACCTAACAACACCCCCTCCCCATCTCCGCCCCAAGGACACGCTAATTGAGATCCAGGACGGGGAGGACCAGGTCGCCCCGGAGCCGAATCTGCAGGGTGCAACCTGAGGCTCAGGAGGGAGAGGGATAAAATTGGGGCTTTGTTAGGCTGGACGGGCAAGATATTGATATCTTAAACTGAGCAGCTACTTAGAACCTAACCGTCCTTATGAGCATGAGCTAATGAAAGTACGAGGAGGGCTGCTGTAGCTGCTGAAATTTAAACGATTCGAATCCTCTTGCTCGCTCGCTTTCACTCTCTCTGTCTCTCTCTCTCTCTCTCTCTCTCTCTCTCTCTCTTTCTCGTGTGTTTACCACCCGACTGTCCATTCAAGTCGCCAGGTTCGGTAGTTGATAACTTGTGAGGAGCTCGAGTCGGCGAGTAGCCCCCAAAAAAGAGCGGGCCACTTCACCGCCCGACGCTCACACACAGATTTTTGAAGTATCGCGCTCGCGCGTTCAGCGCGACAGCGCTGATGTCTATCTGTGAGGACAGCAGAAGAGTAGGAGGGGAGGGAGCCCGAGTTTTACCCATTTTTCCAACAGGTGGAGGGCCCGGGTGATGGGGGCTGAAAAATGGGGAGCGTGAGATCTACGGCAACTCGAAAAATATTTAAATCATCGAACCGCTTACGCGATGTATTTTCGGACTTTTACGTAACGTCCCCCGCAGCAACTAGCGAGATGTAAAAAGTATCGTAAGCGATTACGCTATATAAAATTCGGTGCGTTTGTGTATCGCGGGTTAAGAAATACAGAAGTAAAGAAAAAAATGCATAGGGTTCTATGGCCAAGAAAACCCCGTGGCGTCTTGCCTGTCCCTTTAAAGGACTAAATTAAATACTCTCTCTCTCTCTCTCGCTCTCGCTATCTCTCTCTGCCTCTCTCGCTCTCTCGCTTTCTCTCTCATATTCATATATCAATCTATCAGTTGCGCCACCCCACCAGATTGTATGCATTGCGCATTGACACCCCCCGGTTTCCAACCCCTGGGACCCATCTTCCCCCCCTCAAAACCACAAGTCGGCAATTATGTCCGTGCGGCCAGGTGGTGCCCATTCCCAGCCCCCAGCCCTGCCTGCTGCCCCATTTGTCTATGGGCGCTCCGCGGAATCGGGGCTGACAATTTGATTCGGCGTTTCGTCGCCATCCACCAGCAGGTGACGAATGGGAACGGCCGTCCCCAAAGGAGGGGATCGTTGAAAATTCTGGCTCCGGCGACTCAAAATGCCGACTCACATCGCGTTTCGGCATTTTGGAGGTGTTAATGGGCTCGGGATACCATGGCGTAATCGCTTATAAGGAGCCTTTGGGGTGGGGTACGGTAGGAACTGGAAAGATACGAACGAATTTGTCAAAAAACGGGGTATTCTGAAAGGTCCATTTGCAATTAAATTTAATAAATTTTGCAATAAACAATTTTACCCAATTTTTCCAGACGCACCGCCCTGTCCACATGCGCAAAGACTTCATCCAGCAGCGCTTCCGGCGCCGTGACCGCAACGATGGTTCGACCTCGCCGTCGGCCATGCTCAACCAGCTACTCTCGCTGAGCCAAGCCCAAGTCCCGGTAAGTGTTTTAAAGGCCTGTTGAAGGAAAAAAACCGTTTTTCCCGAAAAATTCTTAACTCAATCTTCCAAATTCAAAAAAAGATCTTAAAGGAGCGTCGAAGGCAAACCAAAAAAAACGTTCCATGGCCAAAAATGTGTTGGAAAAGGCAATAAAGTTTATCGAATATATTAAAATCGCAAATTTCCAGGTCTCCATGCCCCCGTTCAACTTCTTCGACCAATTGACGCAAAGCCTCGCCAGCAACGGGCATCAGCTCGACCTCAGCGGGTCCGCCAACGTCTAGAGATTTTTGCGACCAAAAATTCCGTATATTCACTAATGACGAGCTGTTCTGATTCTAAAATATTATAGTCGAAATTCAAATTACCGGAACAGCTCGTTATACTTTTTATCTTACCTTATAACTGCCTTATCCTCTCCGACCGTATCGACCCCCCAACTTCGACCGGTTCACCCCCAGAAACGCCCACTTTTTATAGCCGCAATATTTCGGTACGCGTGTGCGCGTGCGTGCGTGTCCGCCCCAATACAAAATGCGCGCCTCGCGCCGCGCTGCGAGTGCGAAAGACGCGTCGAGCTTTAGCCTTTAATTTTGATTTTTTATGTTTATTTTGCAGTATTATTGCTTTTTTTTCATTTTTGAGGCTAAATGGCTTTGTTTTTGGATTGTTTAGATTTTTTCAGGAGTTCTAGCTTTTAAAGGGAGCGTGCCAAATTCAGCATAATCAGCTGTCACGCTCTCTTTAAAATTAGCTTAAAAATCTGAAAATAAAGCCAACCCTCCTCCTCATTTGTGCAAATTCTAGCCCTAATTTTCCCCTCTCACTACGCATATTACGCCTCTACGCATTTCCGCATAATTTCGCGCGTCCTCCGACCCCCGAATCGGGCATAATTCCCCATTTTTGCATATTTTAGTTGTCGGTGTGTTTGTTTTATTGTCTATTTTGGTTCCGCCCGCATTATTTGGTGAGATTATGTGCATTTAGCCCCCCAACCGGGACGCGCCCTTTGTTGCCCCGGCATTTTCGATGCAATTTAGTTTTTTGCATTTTTCGTACTGTATTTTGTAGTTTTCCACTACACCAATTCTACCGCATCATCGATTTTGACGTGTCTTCCCCATAAGAATTTTGAAGCGAATTTTCCCCCGCCATCCGGCATCCCAAATACACAAATGTGATCGGCCCCCCGCGCGACCCTACGTTTTTACAGTTAATTTTGTTTAACTTTCTCGACATATCCCCAATTTTCCCTTCCCCCACTGAAGCAATTCCATAATATCGTGCATCTCAATTTTGTCACATCCACAAAACACCCGCAGTTCGGTCACAATAACTTTGCCCCGTCACAATGATGGTATTTGTTTGTGTGTCTTTTTTTACTCGTGCATTTTCATAAATTATTTTTAAAGAATATTTTCACCGCGTTTATCGAAAAAGCATACAACAAACCAACCAGACGCTACAAAAACATGCAAAAAGAATAAATAGGTGGGGCCCCGGAATTTTTGATTACCGTATGCGTGGGCCGCGCGTTGACTACAAGTTTTTTTGTGCGAAAAACCAGGGCCAATCCTTGCACAGAAAGGGAACGAATTGCCAACTTTGCGGTTTAAAGGGGCGGAATTTTAATTTAAAGGGACGTGGAATCGCCGTCAAAATTGGTCCACCCTTTTAAAACGTAGCTCAAGACGTAAGCTATCACATTTGAAAAATGGGGGAAACTCGGGGCCAGGCCCTCATCACCCGGCAAAAAGGCCGAATATTTAAAACAAAACCATACATAAAGGCCCACTTCCATCTGGTCAATAAATATCGTAACTACGACAGCAAAAGCTGGTTAGGAAAAAAGATGGAAGCGGACCCGTAAAAGGCGGCTTTATTACCCTTATCACGTGACGCAAAGAAAAACGGAGTGTGCGGGATGGGGGATTCGTTGCGAGATATCTTAAAAAAACAAGCGGAAAGTTGTTAGGGTCAAGCAAGCGGACGGGTGGGGGGACATCGAGAAACCAGAAAATGGACAGACATAAAGACACACCAGGACTGGCGGGGCGATATGACAAACAGCGGACAGGGAAGTAGAAGTCTGGAAATCAATTTCATCACAGCTAGTGTCGGCGTGTGGGGCGAGCATGAAGGGGGATAGAGGGGGTGTTCTGGGCAAGTCGGGATTAGTTGTGTTGGAGGATTTTCTGGCTGAATTTGATTTTGCCGAATTTTGATCACGAGTCGCAAAATCAGGGAAAAATTGCCAGGAATTTCCTATGCTAATTTTTCGGTTTGGATAAGACGCTTTGCATTTTTGGCTTCTTCGGCTTTTTGGCTGAAAAGAAAATTCGGTCAGATAAAAATTCGCAGAGATGTAATTTGGCGCAAACGAAATTCAGTCGCAAAATTGAACGGATTTTGCCAAATTTGCATTTTGCAAAAAATCTCCACTAACCCAACCGTTCCAACGACAAGCCCAGAAGCACCGAAAAAACAACTCACAGCGAAATAGGAGAAAAAAAACGGGCAGGCGGGATCAGGGGGGAAACGAAGACGAGGTGGGATCAAGCGGCACACGTGGAATACAATACACACACTTTCCTAGGCACACCCAATCACATCATCATACAGTAAGGCCGGAACCGGTAAGGGTAATATGGTGGTGGTGGAGATGGAAAGATTGGTGGGGCGGTGGGGGAAAGTGGCTTAGTCGAACTTGTTCACCTCTTGGTAGATCTTGCGCACAAACTTGGCCGTGCCGACGTAACCGATGGTGCCGCACATGAGGCCCAGGCCGGAGGCGAACAGGCCCATGTAGCCGAAGTAGAACACGGTTTGGAAGAGGCCGTACATCCTGGAAAATGGGAATTAATGGACTGATACGATTGATTATCAAAATCGAAACACGAATTTTTGATAAATCGCATTTTCATAATATCTAATATACAAAATCCTGAATCTTCTTAATCTCGAATTTTCTAAAAATCTAAATTTCTTTTATTTGCTGATCCTACTGATTCAGACTAGGGAAATTTCTACATTCGTATAAATCGAAATTCTAACAATTCGATATTCTGACAGTCCGACTGATACCTATCAGAACACAATTAGGCTTCTTTAATTCCACAGGGCCAAGGCCACCGTATCCCCAGTGAGACCGCCCCCCCACTAATGCCAGATTCCGCGTAGCGCTGTCACCAAAGCAAACATACAGTCAGTCGGTCGCTATCCGCTTCCTTTCGGGAATTATCTGAGCCCCCAGACGCTATTCAAAGGCGCTGAATGGGGGAGCAGCGGTGGCTGGCCGCTGTAACTGATACCCCTAACGTCGCCTCTGCTCTCCGTGTGTACCGTCGACCACAGTAGGATCAGTTGGGGAGCCGGGGAGGCGCAAATTTGGGGTGGGGAGCCGGTAAAAATTGGCATAGCCCAAGATTCCATCAAAGATAGAAGATTAGATACCGGGAAACGTCAAAAACCCCGAAAGACAGAATGCCGACAAGCTAAATGCCCACCGTCAAAATACCGATTGCCAACAACCCCATTTGCAATGATTTTTTTGCATGTAAATAAGCCTTTCAGAGCCGACGCCTCGGCTTGTCGGCATTTTGGCTGTCGGTATTTTTCTCGAAAATCGAAGGTCGAAAGCGAAAATTCAACGACGACGACTAAAGAACTAGCAAATTCTTGCATTTTTAAATCCACTTCAACACCTCCGATCAAACGACCAACCAGCTTCGGCAACATTTATCTATTTTCCCGATTCCGATTGCGGCGATCGGGCATCGAGTGGTATCTCGCGGATGAGGGGGGAGATGCGAAGAGGAAGGACACAACCGGCACTTGAGATGGCCGCCCGGTTGAGGGGTGTACGGTCGGTATTGTCTTGTCCCCCCCAACACCCAACGGATCGAGATCACGGCTCGCCAATCAACACAGTCTATAGAAATTGGCCGGGGCGATCGGATCTGTGTAGCGCGAATGGGGGCCCGCAATCGGCCCACAGGGGGACATCTCTGTTTGCGTGTTTGGCTCGCATCGGCGTGTCCCATCGTGTAGGTCCCCCAACAGCTATCGGAATCTAGCCGACGATATCCCGGGGGTTGGAGCGTTAAATTTTTTTAGAATTCTAAATAACAAAATAACATCCGGTTTGATCGGCACCGAAAAATCATCGCGCTCGTGGAAAATTTCCTTTGACAAAAAAGCGCCGAATACAGAAAAAAACAATTTAGAGAAATTCTAAAGCGCTACAGATTTTAATCTATTATATTCATTGCTAAATCACTTTTTTTCTTATAGTCATAGCGATAGGGGTGGAAAGTGAACCAAAAAAATTTCGAAAATACCGAATTTTAAACTCTCCAGTTTTGAGAAAGTAAAAAAAACCGCAGATTTACGGCATTCATTCCCCGGGGCCTTAGAAAAATCAGGAACCTTGAATCACTAGAATCTCGAACTTTCAGGAATGTCGAGATTTCGAGATACTCAAAATTCCAGATTAAGAAAATCTGAGATCCTGAGAAATCGAGATCCTGAAAAATCAAGTTTCTGATTGCTTGATTTCAGGTTCTTTTGAATTCTAGATATCCCGTGGATAAAGGTGCAACCCATAAGCTAGAAACCGCGAAATTGACATAAATTCTAGCTCGCCCCGTTCAGCTACAACTCGAACCAGATCAGCCCCAGGCTGGGGCTGCACCACCCTCAGCTACACCACTATTGCGCAAATCCACCAATCCTCGGAAGCGCTATTCAGCGCCACTGACCAGCGCGTGGCTCAATCTCACCCCCAAGTTGTCGCAAACCTCTAGTGGCGAGTACACACACCGAGACATAACATTGAAACGATACCGCGTATCGCTCCCCTCACGCCGCCGCTCAATCTCAAGTAGGGCCGGGCGAGAAGAGAGCCGGGGCTCTGTTTGGCGGTCTTCACCAAGGGACCAATGCCTCTCTCGCCCCTTACAACATTGACACCCAATATCACTTGTCCGCCTCGCCGCACCGTCACCCCCTACCACCAACAGGGTAAACCGATGTGGGGCCAAGTGGCAATCGTCATCCTGTATCTTTGATTGGAGTGAAATTGGGGAGGCCGGGGATCGACAAAAATCAGCAAATCTTCAAAATACCCCAAAACTAACGTAGCTAACGATCGTACTGCAGAAAAACCGAAAAGTTTCCAAGCTTTTCTTATGGGTCATTTGAGGCCTACAAAAAAAACTGAAATTACTACCAATACTCTACAATCAAAATTAACGCAGAAAAAGCCAGGAAGTCCCCAGATACTCATTTTAAAAAAAACCCGAAACGTACTTGGTCTTGAAGAAGAAGTAGTACACCGCGTAGAGGTACACGTAGAAGGCGGTCGAAGCGCCGGCGGCGAAGCTGGTCCAGCGCCTGAAATTAAAAAATTAACTCGATTTTAGGCAAAGAAAGTCATGCAATTTTTTTATCCTTATCAGGGGACCAATAAAATGATTTCCTGATATTTTTGAGCTCGCGATCGATTCTCCTCAAATCTCCCGAAAAACCAATATGAAGGTCAAACCCCACCCGTCATCAGTGCGGATTTATGAACCTCCACCCCAGCGGCTATTCAAGACGTATCCGAATTATGGGGGGACCCGGGGGTCAGTCGGCCGGCGACGGGTAATTGTAACCCGGATCGCGCGCCTGCGGTTTCGATGGAGAGATCAACGACGGCTGAAAAAAGACCACCCAGAAAAGCCCCCCCCCCCCCCCCCCCCGTCTGCACCATTTTCAGTTTTTCAAGGCCGATAATTGGGGGTGAGGGTAGTGAAGGTTATCGGTCGAGGGCGCGCCTGGGTTGTGGTTAGCAGGGGGGCAAGCAGATGGATAAAGGGTGAGTGGTGGCTTAAACGGGAGAGCGATAAATTTTAAATTGGAAGAGGGAGGGCTAGGGGCCTGGAATGGAGCAAATTCAGGGAACGTACTTTAAACGGGCACGTAATTCCAGCTTTTGTCAAAAAGTACAAAAAGCTTCCTATTCCTCGGGATCGAACCCTGGGCCCCAAATTTCATGCCACTACACTAGTAAGCAGGTTGAACTAAACGAAGCCGCGGTCAAACTGGACCCCATTTAAACAGTTGTCGTACACGCCTGGAAAATTCAATCAACAATCCAAAAATCACCATCTATAGTCCTCGGCATTGAGCAAGAAGTAAGTGCAGACGATCGTCACGCACACCGTCACGATGGCCAAGATGAGGAGAACCTAGAAAAAAAAGCAAATTGATAATAAGGTGAGAAAATTCCAACCAAGAGCATGAAGCCGTAGACGTAGTAGATCTTGTAGGCCCAGAATGACGTGAAAATGAAGTACCTAAAACGGATAAACTAGAAAAAGGCAAGCATCCTTACATCTCAATGAAAATGCTGCCGAACGGCAACACGCCACCGGCCAGGCAGATCAGCCACGGCTGGACGAACCACTTCTTGTCGGGGATCGGGCGCGGGACGGCGTTGACCCTGAAAGAATTTGCTAAAAAAAATTCAAGAATTTGTGCGCGTTAATGGCTACAGAGCAACAAAGAATAAGCTATTCCGCATAACAAGACTGATAATGAATCGCGCTGTTGTTTTTGACCATTCGGTTTTCCAGAAAAAGAAGAGAGAAAACCTAATTTTTAGGTTGCGGTCGCACAAAAGTTCTACAATTTAGTGGCTCTGACTACGAACGCTACGAAACGCGACAACTAACAAAGCACGCTGAAAAATAGTGTTTCTCTGTTTAGGTGTTAGCCACCTGTAGCCGTAGGTGGTTTGCAGACAGTGAGAACAGGGACACGTATAACGATTCTGCGTCCTAGACAACAAGAGCAACAAGGGTAGAACAGAGACCGCATTTTGTACCTGCACGGGTAGTCGCCCTGGCCGCCCATGTTGCGTCCGAGCACGGTGCCAACGAGTGTCAGCGGCAGGATGACGAACAGGCAGATCGCGGAGACGGCCAACTAGACAAATAATATTGAGGCTCGCAGCAAAACTATACCATCACGGTGAACGGGATAGCGCGAGAGGCATGGTAGTAGATGGCGATGAAGTTGATGAGGAAGGCCAGCCCGCAGACGCCAGATGGGAGCAGAAAAGCGCCTGAAAGAAAAGAAAATAGTAATAGCGAGAGCACGAGGAAAAAATCTTAAAACGAAGCCTACCGAAGAGCATCTGGCGGATCCAGTGCTTGCCTCCGAAACGCGAATACATCGAGCCTCCGGCGTATCCGTTGATCGGGGCGCAGGCGGCGTACACGAAGATCGAGGCGGAAAGCAGGGATCCACGCCTAAAACAGAGATTCGCAGAATAATAACGAATTCGTACTCGGTATAAAATTCGCCGACGATGGCCAGCACGGTGGTGATGATGGCGACGGCAAACACGTGGTAGCCGGAACCGATCAGAGAGGCGAACGCCATCGGCAGGGCGGGCGGGCGGAAGACGTCACCGTGCACTTGCTTCCAGCCGTACTCGTCGCCAAGGTCAGCATCCTACAAAGGAAGTAAATTAATAAAAAAGCAAAACTAACCAAATCGTCTCCAGTCTCGCCCTTCTCATAACGGGCGTAATCGCGGCGCAGCGTGCGCATCAGGATCATCCACACGAGGCCGACGAGGAACACGACCATCATGAACGAGTTGAAAATGGAGAACCAATGAATCTAAAAGGTTCATTACAAAAAAAGAGGGCTTTACAAACCCTGTGCTGGAAGAAGGACGGGTCCAAGAACTTGTCGAATCGATCCTGGAACTTCACGTCGCTCTTCGTCCATGTGACTTCGTAGCTAAAAAGCAAAATGAGAGTAAGAGTAACAGTTTTTTAAAGCATACCTGAACTCGAGAAGGGCATTTGGGCGCAGCTCGACCCGGCCATCGGTGGTGAGGTTCACATCAACAATCTAAAAGCGGAGATGAATCTATACGAAAAAAGTGCAAACCTGTTTTCCGTTGTATCCAATTTCGAGCTTCTTGTGGGTGAAGATCTTGAAGGCGGGTGGGTTGACCTTGTTGTCAACTTCACCGACCATGCCTAAAGATCGATATTTACAATCCAAAAGTTAAAAAAGTACCCCAGATTGGCATATCGTCGAGGTACATCTGGTAGGCGTACTGGTTCTTGACTGCATAGACGAAGGTCTTGTACTCCTCGGTGGTGAGCGTCTTTTTGCAGTAGACGTTCTTGGTGACTTCCGCTAAATAAAAAGAATTTGCAAAGAAATAAAAAGGAGGCTTACTTCTGTACTTGATTTCCAGCCCGGAGAAGTCGAGCTCGACGCCGAGCAATGATTCGCCCATCGTTTCGTGGTAATGACCGATGGTTTCCTTGGGACCACGGCAGAACGGCAACGAGAAGTATGTGTACGTTTCCTGGCGGTTGCTGTAGGGCCCGACCTAAAAAGGCAAATTGAACAAGTTTGTCTAGACAAAAACAAAGCCAAAATTAACGTAGCGGAATTAAGCTCAGAAAGACAAAAAGGCACGAAATTGGCACAGCAAAAACTTGACTTTTTTTGGAAGATATGAAGGGAAGAGATCTTGTAAAAACTGACCGTGTTCATCCACAGCACCACCTCCTCGTTCGCTTCGTACATGTGGTCGTGCTCATCTGCGTGCACCGCGCAGCAGCACAGCAGAACGACCCAGGCGATGAGCGTCCTCATCTGAAAAAGTGGGAATGTTGATCAGAAGCGTAAAAACAAACTCAAAAAGGGAAAAGGACAGTAGAAAACGAAGCACAAGCAAAAGCCACCCGTTCCCAGTCCTTTTCGGAAAAAATGACTCAGCCACTGTACTTTTTTGGTTCCACGTTGCAACTCAAAACAAAAAGGTGTAAACAGTATCAATGTGGAATTTTGAAAGTTCGAATTTGTAAGGGTAATCAAGGTCTAGGGTCCGCCCCGTAATCTACCAAAATACTCCGGGCGGTCGACAAGGCTTAAACGGTAAAGCTATAGCTGTTGAACATCCGGGGGTTCTACATTGGGAAGAGAAACCAGACGGCAGAGCGACGAAAGAGCATGCTATCGCGGAGGGAGCAGCATGTTGTGGGCCCCGTTCCCAGCAGTCGGGATCCACGCCGATCCGCGGAATAGAAAACGCTGCTTTTCGGGGCAGAGTTAGGCGGAAAAACCGTGTGCGGACGCGATAGTATCAGTGGGACATACTAACGTGGAATCGGCTAAAATCGAGTACATTTTCACACGAGGCAATGTACAGGAAAAGTCTCTGAGCGCAAAAATCAACACGCAATCAAACGCCAAATTTTCTCGCGAACCATATAAGTAATAAACTTTATCCATAAATTACGCTGGCTGAACACGGGCGAACAAGAACCAGAAAGCAACAAATACAACAAGTTTAACAGAATCACAAAGAAAAGTCCGAAACCGTGAACCACACTGCAAAGGGGCAAAACATGGGGGAAAGATGACCAACTAACGGTACCCAATTATGTGAAACGACAAATTCAAAATTCGCAATCTATTTCTTCTTGCCCGTCAGACCGGCGCCGGCGTTGAACTTGAAGAAGATGATGTCACCGTCTTCGCAGGTGTAGTTTCGGCCTTGTTGCCGGTATTTGCCGGCGGCTTTCACCTAAATTCGGTAAAAAGGGGAGAGAAATTTGGGGCGTACCTTTGCTTCCGAGCCCTCTTCCATAAGATCGGCCACCTTCATCACCTCGGCCATGATGAAGCCCTTCTCGAAGTCGGTGTGGATTCGTCCGGCAGCCTGTGGCGCCTTTGTGCCCTTCTGAAACAAGGAATCATAAAAAAGGGACGCAACGAACGCACCTGAATTGTCCAGCACTTGACTTCATCCTCTCCGGCCGTGAAGAAGTACTGGAGTTGGAGGGCCTCGTATCCGGTGTGCACAATCTTGTCGAGATTCGACGTGGCGCCCACTTCCTTGTAGAACTTCTCGCGCTCATCCTCCGGCATCTCGATGCTCTTTAGTTCAAAAGCGCCTAAAATACGTTTCAAAAAATTAGCGGAAAACGAGCCTCACCTGAGAACGGGATCAGCTTGGCGGCGGGGTCATTCTCGTCGATCCAGGCCTTGATTTTCGGCAGCCATTTGTTCTTCTAAAAAAGTTTGGAACATAAAATTTTCATTTAAAAATACCTTCCGGATGTAATCAGCTTCACTCAAGTTGACCAGGTAGACGATCGGCTTTGCCGTGAGGAACAGATGCTTGTTCAGGATCTCGATCTCCTTCTCGTTCCAGGCCTAAATCGCATTTCGGGAAGTAGGAAACAAAAGTACCGCTTTCCGCACCGGCGTCTTCTCTTCGGTGAGCATCTTTTGGACCTTGAGTAGCGTGTCGTATTCGAGCTGCAAGAAAAAGTAAAGCTAAGGGCGGCGCGTTATACCTTCTTGGTCTTGTCGTTTGCCCGCACAACTAGCGTCTCCAGCTTCTTGACAGAGCCGTCCAAATACTGTAGATCCTTCAGGCGCAATTCGTCGGAGATGATATCCAAATCTCGGACCGGGTTGATCTCGCCTAGAAACAAAGTCTGAAGCAAAAAATATCGAGCAAACCTTCGACGTGCGTGATGTCGTCATCATCGAATGCTCGGCACAGATGGAAAAGTGCATCGCAAGCCGAGACGTGGGACAGGAAAGCATTTCCGAGTCCTTGGCCCTCAGAAGCACCTAGAAATCAAAGTTGCCACAAACGCAAAATCAGAACACCTTTCACAAGTCCAGCAATATCGGTGACGTTCAGGAAGGCGGGGACCTTGCTGGCAGGCTTGAAGAAGTTGACAAGCCAATCAAATCGTGGATCGGCGACCGGGACCCTAGACAAAAAGTTATGGTGAGAAAAGCCGATGAACCTGCTCTCGTTGGGGTCGATGGTGCAGAAGGGGAAATTCTCGGCCTGGGCCTCGCTCTTCGTGAGCACGTTGAAGAACGTGCTTTTGCCCACGTTGGGCAGACCCAGAATACCGACCTAGAAAAGAACGATTTTCCAAGGGATTTGATGAAATCTGCACCTTCAAGTTGGTGCCCAGGCGGCCGATAAGTGGCGGCGGCTCCTCGACGGCCTTCTTGGGCGGCATGGTGGGTCCACTAAAACGAGGCGATGCACAAGCAAATCCGTAAAAAGCCAGTATCACCAACAACAAACACACAACCAGGTAACAATAGCAACAACTTTTTTGCATTTCTTTTTGACCAATTGTGGCTAGAACAAATTTATTGAGACCCATATGAACAAATGAGATACAATGTCACAACTTACGACAAAAACGAAACAATGAACAATTCGGGTGGTAGATCATGTGTAAGGGACATCGGGATGGTGTACGTTGATGGAATATGTTAGACACAAAAAAGGGATAAATAGCCAATTGTGGTTCCAAAGTGTTTAGAATTGACGAGGCGGGGCACCGGGTCCTCCGTAGCCGGGCTGCATCATTCCCATCGACGGGCCGCCGACACCACGAACAGCTCCCTAGAAAGAAAAACGTTAATTTACTTCTAGAACTTGGTACCTAAGTCCAGCCGGAGCAGCGGGTCCAGTAGGGGCGATCGGCATGCCACGTCCGGCGGGCTTGGCCTGTCCGGGTCCAGCGTTGCCGCCAGCCTTGGGGAGAGCGCGGGCCTTCCTCATCCTTGGGCGGCGGGCCCTCGACCGTCAATGAGACGATGTGCTCGCCTCGAAGAAGGACGAGTCCTAAAATGAAATAGTAAATTATTTCAATCAAAAGCGCGAGCTTTCCAAAACGTAAAAGTGCTCAAAAACCAACCCAGCATCCGCTTCTCTTCACCGTCGGCCTTCTTGCCGGCCTTCCTGATGCTGCGGAACTCCTCGCAATCGGTGAGCAGCAGGTTCATGTGCTTGTCGAAGGCTGAAAATGAGTTTGATACAGCAATGAAGTGCTTGACGTACCCCTAAAATAGCCGACGAACGTGCGTCCATCCTGCAACATGATCCGCATGCGGAAGGAGGTGCTGCATCACCTTTGTTGTTCTTGCTGATCGTCATCTTTGAAGCTTCAAAAAACGGCTGACGTTGATGAGATTGGCTGAAAAAAAAGGAATATAAAAACGCCAATAAGGAAAATCAAATGGGGAAAACAAAAAAAAGGCAGATTTAGAAGGCAAACGCAAGGAGGGGATAGGCCTACGAATTCAGATTTGCCCAAACTCCTAAACTTGAGAGAAAACTACGTTGTTTCCATTTCTCTTGAAAGGTCGGCGTAGTCTTGTAGAGGAATTCGCTTCAAATCAGGAAATTGCCAATACAAAAACAATCGAGACGTGTTTTTCGTAGCCATTATACGCTTAAGACGTTATCGCAGGTAAAAGGGAACAAAGCGATTTCTTTGAATTTCACTTGCAAAGTTGCTAGATTTCTTTGTGGGCGAAAAGCGAGATCAGACAAAAGCACTTGAAATAAACAATACCGGAGAACGTTTTGTTTCGTAAAACGCATGGTTTTTGAGACATGAAAGAAAGTTCTATCAATGTGAATTTAATAATTTGCTTTGTTTCACAGATTTATCGAGCAAAAGCTCGCCGGAACCGCAAAATTCATCGTAAATACAATACAAAAGCCTGTTTTTCGAAATTATTTCGAAAATGTGAATTTAGTAAGCTGTTTTTATAAAATTGTAATTGTAAACTTTCTACTCTACGTAAAAATGAGCCAAGGCGAGAGAAGAAAACATTTCGTGAAATTCGAATCATCGTTTGGCGGAAAATTACACATTTTCGGAAAGGGGCTCCACGGGGCTCCTGTTGACGCGTTAGAGAGCGAGAGGTGCAGAGACGAGTGGATCAGCGCGACCTCTCGACCCTTCCATCAAGGCTTATCGCCGAGGCCGCCCGGGATTCCGCCGTGTTCACTTTCGCCCCCATCCGCGGCTTTTTGACCCTTTTCCGCGATCTGTACTAAAAAACGAGACCGCTTGTCTGGGTTTCGGGGAGAAGCCCCGCCGCGATTGACAGTCCTTTTCCGCGCCAATTAGTTCGGTTAACCTGATGACGTAATACTTTTGAAGCCGGAATGCCAAGAAAATTAAACCGGTTTCGAAATGCGGTTTATCTGGGGGTTGGCAGAAGGTGTTTTGCTTCTGTTTGGTGTGAAATTCTTTGGTGGCTGAATCTGGCTCGGAACCGGGAAACTAGGCGTCGGGCTGGGAATGTTAGGTAGAGTTATAAAATCGTGTTAGTAGGATCATTACACCAACCGTCCTTTTTGGAAAGTAATGGGAATTTGGGGCGAATGTCTATCAGCTTCACATGAAACATTAGTGCAGTCGACCTGAACCCACTATTTGATAAGTGAGACTTCAGTGGTGGGTCGCCATCTGCGTGCAGCTGCACGCAACCCTTACTCCCTTGGAGTCAGGCCGTCAGTTGTATGGCTTTTACCCTTGTCTGTAAGATTTCTTCACAAAATAACTTTTTTTCGATTTCTTTTATCAGAATTCTGTCCAATTAAATGAAGTTTTTTATTTTTTTCCATATTATCAGTAAATTGATTACGTAGATCTTTTTTTTACATCGCATCTAGCGCGCTCTTTTTATCTCATCAGATCTTTCTCTTACCTAAGTAATTCACCATCTCCCTTATTAAATCATCCTAAACAACGCGAATTCGAGATAACCCATTACAGGCCGGAAAGGATGCAACATCAGGACACCCGGCGTTTAACAAGCAGGCCCGCGTCAGGCCGGTGGACATGAGCGGTGTCGACGCTTTCCAGACGGGCAGCAATGTCAAAAGAGCGGGCAGCAAATTCTACGCAAAATTGGCGCGGAGCCGGTGGGAAACCGGTTCCGGTCCCGGCGGGTCGTTTCCGAGGGCGATAATGTCGGAAATGTCGCACCCGACGATTTGACGTTGATTTGTTCGTAGTAGGATGACTCGGATTTTTGTGCCTTTCCGGTGGTTATTTCGGGGGTTTTCGTGATAATTTGGAAAGCATCCATAAGTTTAATTAGAATTTCCGGCGTCTGACAACTTCATACAATAGTTAAATGGTAGTTTAATAGCCCGAAATGCGTATTTTTGGAATGACTATCTGCAAAAAATAAAATAAACAGATGGAGATATGATTTTTTAGTTTGCTGACGTGGAAAGCCCTGAGATCCGCAGTCTGTTGCTCCAGATCGCGCAGGGCCCGCCGGCACGAACATCATCGGCGGCTCGTCAACTTCGTCCCCCCGAAAGCCTTCGCCAGACAGCCGGGACCATCACGGCAAAGTGTAAGTATAATTGAATTTAAGGCGATTTAAAAATGCTTATTTTATTTATAAGCGACCATTAATAAAACTAAAATACCTAGAAATGGCTTAATCTACTAAATATCTTCAGAAAACACGGCAAAAGCCCCAAAAGTCACCAGGGGCCAGCAGAAACAACAACAACAACAACTACCACCACAACAACGGTGGGCCGAGCAGCAGCCGAGGACTCCAGCTTCGACCCGAATCGGGTTTATGTCTTGGAGAACTCGAAGATGGTGGGTGCAGTTGAAAAATCGAGTTTTTTAAAATGTTTTTACACGTTTAAAACCTATTTGACAGTCTACGCTACGTTTCACGACGTCAAATGGCGTATTTTCAGCCTCCACTCCGAAATACGGCTTCGACCCGAGCCTGAAGAACATCTGGGCGTCGCCGAAGCAGAAGCCGTCGCGTGCCACCTCCGTGGCGCAACGATTCCAGCACACCGGGGCCGCAGCAGCCGGATCCGGTGGGTTGATATGGAAAACCGAACGCCTTGAAGTCATTGTAGCCTCTAGAACTTTAAATCTGAAATTTGAAGCTTCCAATATATCAAGCGCACTGGAATTGCTCAAAAACCACCAGTTGTACGTCTTGAAGACGTCGCTTACCCTAGAACGTAGATATCCGTTTTGGAAGTGTCGGAGAACCTGAAAAAGGGCTAGAATCAGTGACAACGCGCAAGTTCAACTTCTTGAAGCTGGCGTTTTTAGGAAATCAGGACGCCGAACACCGTAACTTTTGGAGCTTCATCAGCTTAAATTTGCTGCAAAACTGAAACTGAACTCCTTGGAATATGATGTCGTGGCGTTAGGAATTACGACTCGAATTCTAGCTTCATCACTAAGACGTATAGTATCATATAACCTTTTTCAGTACCAAGATTATTTCCCACCAACACTGCCATCCTGATCCTGCTCCTACAAACACGGGCGTCAAGTTTGGCCCATCGCCCAGGACAAAGTCCCAAAATGCCTGACGTCTTCCGGGGTATGTCGCCAGGAATGTAACGAAGCTCGGGAGCTTCTATGAAATATATGTAAGTGTGTTAACCCACTTTTTAGCCCCTAATCCCCCGAAGAAGTACTGACGATCTGTGCTTCCGATTTGGAACAATCTACCGCCTGATGAGGTAGAAACTCTAGATAAATAAAAATTGAATGTGCTTTTAGCAAACGAACCAGGCGCGCAGATCTGCTTCCAAATCGAGTTGGCCTCGTGGATGTACCTCGACATTTACTGCAAAGATCGGGCCGATTTCATACGCTCGGGATGAAGGAGTTCTCGAAGTGCCTAAGCCTAAGCTCAACCTAAGCCCAGCCTGGTTTATGAAGCTTAAGCCTATGCCTATGTTCAAGCTTCCTGCTTCCATTCCTAAGCCTGCTTCCTGCTTCTCCAAGCCTAAGCCTGGGCCGAGCTTTGTTTTCAATTTGTATAACCTTTTCAGGCAAATGTTCGCGAACTGCGATTCTCCTGAAGGCGTTCGCCCGGGATGTCGACTGCGGCGTGGACGAGTGGCGGCAATACAAGTCGGCCGTGCCGACCCATGGTGCCATTCTGCTCGACCTGTCGCTCAACCACGGCCCTCCTCGTCCAGGGCTACTACTCGAAAAACAGCTGGGGATTCTAGAAGGGGAAGGCGGGTAATTTTCATTTCTAATGTAATCGTAATGGGCTATATATGGACTGGTAGGTAGAAAACTTTTAAAATTGAGAATTTCCTAACTACCCTAATCTAAAATTTTATGATTCAGATCAACGAGGGCGAGGAGCTACGCGCCTGCGCGATGCGAGAAGTTCACGAGGAGACGGGCTACGATTTTTGTATCGATAGGCCGAATGGGACAAAGAGAAGAAGCTGCAGGTAGGGGTTTGTCTCATCGCTCTGGCTCTCTCGCTCTCTCTCTCTCAGAAATCGATCCTCTCAGAAATTCATCGGAGACACCATGGTCCGCCTCTATATCATCCCTGACGTTCCGGGCCGACTACCCCTTTGCACTGATGACGAAAAAGGAGAGATTAGGTTCGGAGTTTAACTTCAGGCAAGCCAGCAAAAATTCTTGGGGAAAATTTTTGGAATTTAAGGTCCTAGCTAAGCGCTAGGAATGTACCTGTTTCAGAAAAAATCCAATGGTTCAAAATCTGGGATCTGCCCCAGGACAAGGGGACAACAAGGTGATTTGCCACCTCTCGAACTCGAGCAGCCGCTTCTATACGGTGTACCTGTTCGTGTCCGAGTTGCAGCAGAGTAAGAAGAAGGAGCAGGCGAGGCGAGCAAAGGCGGCAACAAAGGTACGGTATTGGGGCCTTAAATTAGCGACTGAACCAGGCAAAAGCTTGTTTTGCTTACAGGGGTCGATTTACAAAATAAAACGTAGAAAAAGCTTTCTTTAAAAAATATGGTTTGATTCCGAAGGTACAGCGGGCAGTGAACGTACGAAAAGTCGATTTAATGACTTAAAACTGGATGAACTTTTCAGGCTCCCAAGCAACCGCAAGGAAAATCCCCGGTCGTGCGCAAGAAAGACCGCAGCGCCTTCACTCCCGGTCGTCCCGAAAAGTGAGTTCCTCGCTCGAATTCGATTTTTTATTGATGATTCAGGCGGGAACGAGAAGATGAACTCGGCGATGGAGCTCATCCATCAGGATTTATCTCAACAACTTCCACACCTCGATCTGACGATGAACGCCGAAAAATCACGCC